ACCATACTCTAGTTTAGAACCTCTAATCTCAGCCTCTCCAGGATTATAGGCATGAATTGGTGTTCTAGGCTTTCCACAAGGGATTATGACAGAACAAGGAAATAGTACCTGCATTTTTCTCAAAGGAAACTAACTTCCAACCTAGGTAGAGATTCAAATGAAAAAAGAATTCTTAGGTATGAAGAACCAGATGTCAGTTAATTCTGAATCATAAGGTAATTCGTAAGATTTGGTTCTGGAAAGGACTTTAGTGGTCACCTGGTATAACACCCTCATTTTCTAGAGGAAAGACTGAGCACAATACAAGATGGTGTTATTGTTCAGTCGATTCAGTTGTGTCCAACTCTTTATGACCCCATTTGGGTTTTCTTGGCAAAGATACTGGAGCGGTTTGCCATTTCCTTCTCCAGCTCACTTTACATTATTAGGGCCTCTCTCCCCATGGGCATCCAGGGTGTCAGGGAATGAATTTTTTAGGCCCCTACCCTGGCAGCTCCCAAGGGGATACAATCTGTGTTTGTTCAGGGACTGTCCATTCTCATGAAATCATGGATCTCCCAAGGATCAAAGTAGGCCAACAGTTAATCAGCAAAGGTAAGAGAGGCAGTCAAAGCAAGGTGGAAAGACCTCTGGACTAGAATCAGAGGTTCCTGACTCTGCCACTTAGTATAGTAGCTAAGTAATTTGAGCAAGCCCTTTAACATCTCTGGGCCTCAACTTTCTACATCTGCATGAACTAGATGACCTCTAAAGTCTAATACTGTATTGTCTAATGTCCACTCTAGTTCTAATATTCTGTGCCCCAAGGTGCCTTCTAGGCATGCCATTCTATGGATTTTTTTGGCATTCATACTTATTTTAAAATAAAATGTTATTGATATCTTTTATTTTTATATCATCTATATTTCTCCTCTCCCTTTCTCAGATAACAATCCCTTATGACAAAGAATAAAATGGAAGGGGGCAAACAGTTTAGCAAGATTAGTACTGCTTTGAAAAAGGCTGACATTATTTGCAGCGTTCTATACCCATATTGGGCCAGGTAGATGGCAGAGTGGGTAGGGTGCTAGGCTTGGAGTCAGGAAGATTGGAGCTCAAATCTGGTTTCACACACTTAACTAACTGTGGGACCCTGGGCAAGTCAATTAACCCCTATTTGCCTCAGTTCCTCATCTGTAAAATGGGGGTGCACCCAAGGAGGAAATGGGAAACCACCTCAGTATCTTTGCCAAGAAAACCCCATGGACAAAAGTTCATGGGGCCACGTAGAATGAGACATGACTGAATGACTCAACAACAACAACAGTAAACACCCATAGTCTTCTACCTCTGCAAAGAAGGTGTGGAAGCACTTTTTCCTAATCCTACTCCTTTGAAGAGGTGGGAAGTCTACTGGTGTGAATCATTAAATATACAGGGTGGTACAAAAGGCTTAATGTTGTCTTAAGCTATTAGTTGTTTAAACTAATAAATAATATTTAATAATATTATAATTATTATATTTACATATAATAATTATAATAATATTATAAAAAATAATAAATAAACTAATAAATAACTAATAATAAAGCTAATGGCTTAAAACCACACTAAGACTTTCAGGACACTTGGTATCATCTCTGTGAATTACTGTCATTTTAATCCCATGCATTGTTAATTAACATTTGCATTTATTTTAAGCTCCTGTAGTGTAGGAACCATTTCCTGTTGTATCTTCCAGCTTGATATGTGGTAGGCACATGGTAAACTTCTTGAATGAATGAATTCTGAAAACAGTGACAAGAATATTAATCAAGAAAGACATATAAATGAAAGCATTTTGACTTGAGGGCCTATGACGCTGGCACAGTCACAAATTGAGCAACCTTCCTAAGAGGAAAATGGTGAACCCCACATTGGGTCTTGGGATCCCCAGATGTAGTTAGGGGCAGGTTTAACCATTGTCTGTATTGGTCATTTTCTGACCAGTTTGGAGGATCTGGAACCCAGTGTTTCACAGAATCACAGACTTTCAGAGATAGAAGGGACTTTTTCAGAAGGGAAAATCCTCACTGTGACACTCTATCGATTGTATATGAATAGGGATTGGATCTCTGATGCTATGGAACTCCCAGGTGAGAAACCTCTAACCCCAAAGTTCCTAACCTGGCCTCTGTGAACTTTTTGTTTTAAAACATTTTGATGACTATTTCAATATATTGGTTTCCTTTGTAAAATCTGACATGTTTTATTTTATGTATGTTAAAAAAAAACCAAATAAACAAACAAACATTAGTCTGAGAAGGGGTCTGTAGCCTTCACCAGACTTCCAAAGGGGTCTATGACACATGAAAAGATTAAGAGCCTTCTTTGCAATGTTATAGTCTTAGGGAGTTACTTAGAGGACTGAGAGGTTAAGTGCTTTAGCCCAGGGTCACACAGCCAGAATGTGTCAGAAGAGGGATTTAAACCCAGGTCTTCTTGGTGCTAAGGCCAGTTCTCTAGCTGTAGTGCCATTCTGCCCCCCTATCATTTATATACTTTATACTAATTCCTAGGAAAGTCACTTGAAGATCCCCATTATGTTTTTGGAGCAGCTAGGTGGTGCAGTGGATAGAGCACTGGCTTGGAATCAGGAAGACTCATCTTCGTGAGTTCAAGTCTGGCCTCAGAAACTTACTAGTGATGTGAGCCTGGGCGAGTCACTTTGCCCTGTTTGCCTCTGTTTCCTCATCTGTAAAATGAGCTGGAGGCAAATGGAAAAGGAAGTCCAAAAGATTACTGAAGAAAATACTTCCTTAAAAATCAGAATAGAGCAATTGGAAGCTAGTGACTTTATGACAAATCAAGACACTGTAAAACAAATCCAAAAGAATGAAAAATTAGAAAACAATGTGAAATATATCATTGGAAAAACAACTGACCTGGAAAATAGATCCAGGAGAGAGAATTTAAAAATTATTGGACTATCTGAAAGCCAGGATCAAAAAAAGAGCCTAGACATCATCTTTCAAGAAATTATCAAGGAAAACTGTCCTGATATTTTAGAACCAGAGGGCAAAATAGAAATTGAAAGAATCCACCAATCTCCTCCTGAAAGAGATCCCCAAAGGAAAACTCCTAGGAATATTGTAGCCAAATTCCAGAGTTCCCAAGTCAAGGAGAAAATATTACAAGCAGCCAGAAAGAAACAATTCAAGTATTGTGGAAGCACAATCAGGATAACACAAATTTAGCTGCTTCTACATTAAAGAACCGCAGGGCATGGAATATTATATTGCGGAGAACAAGAGAGATATGATTACAACCAAGAATCACCTACCCAGCAAAACTGAGTATAATCTTTCAGGGGAAAAAATTGTCATTCAGTGAAATAGAGGACTTTCAAGCATTTTTGATAAAAAGACCAGAGTTGAATAGAAAATTTGATTTTCAAATACAAGACTCGAGTGGAACATGAAGAGGTAAACCAGAAAGAGAAAATCATAAGAGACTTGCTAAGGTTGAACTGTTTACATTCCTGCATGGAAAGATGATATTTGTAACTCATGAGACCTTTGTCAGTATTAGGGTAGTTGGAGGGGAAAAATTATATGTACCTATGTATAGATATAGATAGATAGAGGGCACAGGGTGAATTGAAAATGAAGGGGTCATATCTGGAGAATAAAATTAAGGGGTGAGAGAGGAATATACTAGGAGAAGGAGAAAGGGAGAGGCAGAACGGGGTAAATTATCCCACCAAAAAAAAAAAAACAAAAGAAAAGGCTCTTACAGTGGAGGGGAAACAGGGGAAGGTGAGAGGGAATGAGTGAATCTTATTCTCATAGGATTTGACTTAAGGAGGGAATAACATACACACTCAATTGGGTGTGGAAATCTGTCTTACCCTACAGGAAAATAGGGGGGAAGGGGACAAGAGAGTAGGGGAATGATAGACAGGAGGGCAGATTGGGAAAGGGAGTAATCAGAAGCAAATACTTCTGAGGAGGGTCAGGGTCAAAAGAAAGAATAGAATAAATGGGTGGGCAGGATAGGATTAAGGGAAATAGAGTTAGTTTTTCACAGCATGTCTACTATGGAAGTGTTTTGCATAACTGCACATATATAACCTATATTTAGTTGCTTGCCTTATCAATGAGGGTGAGTGGGGAGGGAGGAAGGGAGAAAATTTGGAACCCAAAGTTTTAAAAACACATGTTTAAAAAAAATGTTTTCACATGCAACTGGGAAATAAATACAGGAAATGGGGTACAGAAATCCATCCTGCCCTACAGGAAAATTGAAGGGGATAAGAGAAGGGGGGGAGAGATAGAAGGGAAGGCAGACTAGGGGAAAGGGTATTTAGAATGCATGTCATCTTGGGGTGGGGGGAGGGGCGAGATGGGGTGAAAATTTGGAACTTAAAATCTTGTGGAAGTAAATGTTGAAAACTAAATAAATAAATAAATAAAAATTACCATAAAAAAAAAAAGAAAGTTGTCAGAACCTGACATATTTAGGACTTGAACCCAGGTCTCATACCCCCAAACTGGCCCACTAATAAGTATATCATGCTTTTTCTCAATTAAACAAAACTTATGACAATTGTGAACTTGATGTTTGTAAGTGATAATGTATTTTTAAATCATATATATAATGTATGTATATGTAAATATGCATGTATTTTTAAATTATATAAATATATATTTAAAACACACACAAAAAAACAAAAAAATAAAATAAAATGAGCTGGAGGATGAAATGGCAAACCACTCCAGGATCTTTGTGAAGAAAACCCTAAAGGGTGTCACGCAGAATTGGACATGACTGCAATGACTGAACAACAACTTATGTTTCTGGGTAAGCTAAAGAGGAGTAGGTTAACATGTAGTGAATACAGATAGAGAATGACCCCCCACCTCATCGGTCTAGGGAAGCATCCTCATGTTGACAAGACCAAATCTAGGGCCACCAAGAGCATGTGTGTCAAGACTCTGGCCAGTCCCCCCAAGTAAACTGTCTTCCTTCTCCCTCCACAGTGTCATCATGACTGGTGCCTACAATAATTTCTTCAGAATGTTTGACCGGAACACCAAGCGTGATGTCACCCTGGAGGCCTCCAGGGAGAGCAGCAAGCCCCGGGCCATCCTCAAGCCTCGCCGTGTCTGCGTGGGTGGCAAGCGCAGGAAAGATGACATCAGCGTGGACAGCTTGGACTTTACCAAGAAGATACTTCACACGGCCTGGCATCCCGCCGAGAACATCATTGCCATTGCAGCGACAAACAATCTTTACATATTCCAGGATAAAGTGAACTCAGAGATGCACTAGGTTTATCAATAATCCTCTGTATTTATCAACCAGCCTTTTGCAGATTGTCTGTGACCATCAGAGAGAGAAACAGAGCAAAAGAAAAGTGGTTGTGGTGGTGGAATTTGTCCTTCTCTGTCCCAGCTGCCCACCGCCGCCTCACCCTCCCAACCCCCCAGAATCCCCCAAGATGATGATGATGCTGATGGCCATTTAATAAAGCAGAAACCCAGAATTCAATGTAACTAAGAGGCAAAAGGCACTCCAGCAAGGTGACAGGCTTGTCAGTTTTTTAACAAATAGGGTCCATTATACACTCTCTTCCTAGGTCTTTAGTGTTTACCACATTATTAGAGCTTTTTTACATCCACAGGTTAAGTTTCCACTTCAAGCTTCTCTCGGCACTTTGGTTCCTATACAGACTTAGCATGAGGGATGGAGAAACCTTGCTCCATCACCATGGCTCTGGAGACAGCTGATGAACCCGAGACCAGCTCTTATGGTTGGCCTGGAAAGAACCCAGGTTCAAACACTGACCTTGCTATTTATTCACTATATGATCTTGGGCACGTCACTTCTCTCTTTTTTTGGGGGGGGGCTCAGTTTCTTCCTCTGTAAAATGGGAGGAAGTTCAACTGAACGATCTCTAAGGTTCTTTCCAGGTCTCATTGTTTTAGGACTAACATTCACTCTCTCTTTTTCTCCCACCCACCTCCCTCACATCCAAAAGCAACTCCACATATTTGCCAAGTTCATTCAGTTTTACTTTCCCCTCCTTAAATAATCCAGGTTTATTTCAATTTCTGGAGGAAAAAAAATGGTGACTCATGATGGCTAGTGGTCCTTGAGACCTGACTTTAAGGTGACTTTTTCATCTCTGTAGGATATGCATCCTGGAAGAGATAGAAACAAATTCGATTTGGCTTATGTTCTGCAGATCTCAGAAGGTAGGAGGTGGCCTGTTAAAAGCATTGTCTTCCATGGCTGGTACAAGGAGTATTGGAAAGAACCCTGGATTGGGAGGGAGATGACCTGGGTTAGATACTACCTCTGCTGTATGTTATCTTGGGCAAGTCAATTCATCTCCCTGAGCCTCAGTTTCCTCAATGTGCAAAACGATGTAGTTAGACATGATGCACCCTAGGGTCTCTTCCTTCTCTAAATGGGATCATAGGATTTTAGGACTGGAAGGGTTCTTAAGGATCATTTAATTTCCATTTTCCAGATGAAGAAAATTAGGCCCAAGGAAGAAAAATAACTTGCTCAATGAGGCCACACACAGGTAGTCAGTGGCAGAGCTGGCATTCTCACTCAGGTCCTCTGTCTCTGAAGCCAATGCTTGCTCATTGCCCCCACACCATGCTGCCTACAATCCCAAGTTTGCTCTGCCATGTTTAAAGGTTATGAGCTTCGCCCTCTGTGTGCATGTGCTGCTCATTACCCAATGGCTCATGTCCTTGGATGATTGAGCTGCCTCTAAAAATTAAAAAAAAAAAAACCAGCCCATTTAGAATCCATTTTTTGGGGGGAGGGGAATAATTAACACAACTAGGCCAAGAAAACAAATGGCAAATTTGTTCTTTAAGAGTATTTTACTGCACATATGGAGTTGAGAGCTCTAACTCTCCCAAAGTCAGCAAACACATTTTGCAAACTGTGGCTGAGACAGATCACTGATTTCATGAGCCCATCTGTGTCTTAAAGCAAAACTCATCAGTCCCTTGAGAAAGTCCATATTCACCATTCCCCCATCAGCAAACAGAAAGTGAAATGATCCTGCAGCATTTTGTATTTTGATTTAGAAAGCAGAGAAACATGACCATGGCTTACACAGATTACCAACAGGATCCAACTTTTTTTATAACGATGTCTTGACATGACCCAGGAAATATTGTCCAACTGAAGTTTTCTCGACCAATAACTATTTTTGTGTATTTAAAAGCACAAACGCATGTGCACCCACTTCCAGCCATACTATACAGACACTATGAAATGTGTACGTTACTTTTTTTTTTAAGAATCAAAGGGAATGAGGAATGTTTGTTTATAAATCACTGTATACTCTAAATGACTTGGACAGTATTATATGTACATATTTATTCTAATTAAATTTAACAATCAGAGGGTTGGTTTGGGGTTGGTTTTGTTTTGGTTTTGTTTTCCTTGTAAAAAGGTTTAAGAATGTGGTAAATTGTATAGAAATCTTGTTAGATCCAAACTAAAGCTTTGAGGGCCTCACACAATTATTTGGACATTTTTCCATTTACCCATTTCCCCCTTTTGGCTCAAATGGCTAACAGCTTTTACTTGCATTTACTAAAAATACTGTCAAACCATATACTTAACTTTCAACATCTTCAAAGTATGAGTCTATAGATAAGGTATTATAAAGCAGGTCTTAATACAACAGTTATCATTTGGATTTCTTGTACCTTAATTCCGTTTTTAAAATTTAGGTACAAAAAAAAGCTCTTCTTTGAAGGAAAATGTGTCTCTGGAACTCTGAGAGATTCCTAATTTCCAGACAGAAGCATGCTCTCATCATGAATCAAGTGCAGAAAGTGTTATAGGAGGGAAAAGAACTAGAGAAAAAAACAACATTAAGGACCAGTATGTTATTCATAAACTTTGCATTCTTACTGTGATTCAATTTTCTGGTCTTCTTGAATGTATGAGAGGTAACATTGTCATTGTGAGGGTTTTTTGTTTATTTTCTGGTTGGGTTTTTTTTTTTTTTTCATTTTGTTTTTTAACAACTTTCTTTGGGGATTAAGGTTTCGGTGGTGTAGAGTAAGTGGTGGTAAAGTTGGTCAAGCTGATTGTTTGGAAAGCTGTAGTTCATGGCTGCATTCTTTCTTTGTGTTTCACAAACTAGCTAACTGTTGGATAAAAATATAAATATGTTAATACCAGCTTTTTCCAATAAAAGGACAACAAAAATGACAGACACAAAGGACTCTAAAGTGTTCTTCTTTCTGTCTGCAGACAATATGGGAAAGGGGAAGGATTCAATTCAATTTCATTCATCCACCATTAAGTGTGCTCCCTGCTAAGCACAGTGCTGGATACTGAGGATAGAAACCAAAAAACAAACAAACAAAAAAACAACAACTGAGAGCCTGTCCTCAAAGAGCTCATATTCATTTGTCTGATTTAGCCTAGCAACCCAAATTAATGAACACTAGTGTGTGGAGTGGCTTCCCATAGTGGGGGGCATTGCCTAAGAGTTTGGGAAGCAAGTCCCTGGTATATTGAAGCAAGCCTTCCTGTGCTGTGTTACCACAATCAGTATCTGATCTCTCCTGCTGAAAAAGCTACAGCTGCTGCCAATAATCCTGACATGGACACCAGCCTTTCTTCCTTCCTGAGAATGCCTAAAAGATGGAGTTAGATCAGGCTTCTGAGCTTGTTTGATACTAGTATTAGGAGGAAGAGCAAGAATGCCTGGTCAAACCTCTGGCAGAGCAGGACAGTTCTGGGGAATCAGGTTACCTGGATGACTTTCTGTATGTATCTCTCTGGGTCTATGTTTAGTGTTTGTGTGTGTGTGTCTGTCTGTGTAAACAGCATGCTCACTAAAGCCATTGAGATTTGTACACACAATGGATTGTATAAACATCCTACACCGAAGGGCTTGGCCAGTGATCACACTGGGCCACAAAGTTGCTGATGATGGGATCTTTAAGTATACAGTATCTTCTGAACCCTTCCCTATTCTAAAACCCAGAGTTGCAAGGAGCCTTTAGATCAGAGGCCAAGAAATGCCTCCAGCCAGGATTCGACATGGTGATGGCTAAGATCTTTCTGAATATAATAGCATGAGGCCTGGCCATGGTCTCTCCCTTTGCGGAATTCACAGTCAGGGAATGGGGTGTCCATGGGAGGATTAGACCCCATGCAAATCTAATATGCGATATTATATAAATAAGTTCCTCAGAGACAAAAGAAAAGTGAAGTGTGAAGTCTGTAGGGGGAGGGGATTATTACTGAACTGAGAAGATCAAAAAAGGTTTTAGTCGGAGGTGGCATCAGAGTTGGACTGTGAAGAATGGGTAGGAATTTAGTAGCAGACTATGAAGGAGAGGGGGAAGGCCATCTTTGCCCTAATTTGTTATACTCAGTGAGCTGAAAGCACCTGTGAGTTTAGAACTGGAAGACACCCAGTTTCTCTAATTGTTGCCATTGTGGAACAAAATCATCCAGAATGGGAGGCAGCTGTTTCTGGTGGCCATCCTGGAAGTCTAGCAATCACTAACCCTGACTTGGTACTATCAGTAACCAACCATTTGGAAGGTCACTTTGACCTTGTTCTTAATTGGCTTCATGTTTTTCCACCTGTATGCACTTTACCTCCTATTCTAGATGAATGATAATAAAAATTGCTCTCCTATGTGCAGGGATTTAGGGTTACAATATTTTCTAGCTTAGTAGGAAGAGCACAGGATCTGGAATCAGGGGCTTGGATTCAAAACCCTACTCAGACATTTATCAGCTGTAGTACCTTGGATAAGTCACTCCTCCTCTCCAGGCCTCTACTTCTTTAACTGTAAAATGAGAGGGTCTCAAAAAACCCTCACAATCCTTCTTGTTCCAAATCCTGATATATGGTATGGCAATTAAAAAGGTTCAAGAGACAGAATTTCTGGGTAATTAATAATTTTATTAATAATGCCAACACATTTGTTAATAAAGGGATAGTCATTTGGCTGTCTGTCTTAGGCCAAAGACAAACATGGCAGTGGGCTCACAGTTTATATACCCTTCAAAGAGTAGGTGTTTCCTGGGGTGGGAATCAACCCTGATTGGTTAACAATGAGAGAACGAATATTTCAATGACAGACTGAGAGTGACACATCCTTAGAGACTATACCTATACCCAGTTCACCCCCAGCCTTGGGCAGTTTAGACAAAAGGGTCTGTCTCCACCCAAGCTTGATTGAATGGAATTCACCTTAGACTAGAGATTCCTTGTAAGATTGGGTGGGATTGGATAGAGGAGAAGGTTAACTCAACCTTCAGAGACTGAGGTCCTGAAAATAGAAAAAAGGGGAACTCTGGATCTCCCCAAATCATTAGTTACTAATAACCATTTCTCTCAATAGCAGACACTTAGTAAATGCTTGTTTCCTTGCCTTGCATATGGCCTAAAGAGGACAGCAATAGCTGATATATGTAAATATGTTAAGCATAGCTTGATTTACAAGTTGCTCATCCTGCCCAAAGCCCAAACAAATTGGTATTCCATTCATATGGTGAGATTGTTCAGATTCTTCTGTTTGCAAATGACTTTGTTCTGATTCCCAAAAACCACGGGTTCCTAGATGCAGCCAAAATTAGAAGAAAAGCAGGAAACTGATGAAAAAACATTTTTTATAGCAAGTTTCCTTCAAAAAGAAAACCACAGGGTCCTCAGTCCCTTCTTCTTGGGATCTATAACCACTCAGGAGATCAGTCTAACAATCCAGAAAAGAAAAGCCCCCAAATAATCTAAACTGTGACATTCAGCTGGACAGATTATAGGTCTGGGGCAACAGTATGCGTGTTTTGGATCGACACTGTAGGTGATCCATGAACTGGGCCCAGAATTGAATAGAGAAGATTGAACTGCATTTGGGAAACTATGCAGTGCTTTCAATGTTCTTAAGGTGCTCTATACCTCCCAATCCCACCCATTCCCACCTCCTACATCACCACCACCACCAAAACCCAGTATCTTTTTAATATCAGCATTTTCTCAGTGATACAAATCATGGGTCTTCTTGTAAGACAAAGGTGAAGAAGGAGATAGTTGGGGAAGGCATCTGAGTGATATGTGTTGAGGAGCAGGATGTGAATGACATTTTTTTTAATTTTCAGCAAAGCAAGGTTCTTAGCTGAGGGGGTGAGGGAAGAGGAGCCAGGTGAAGTTTGAGAAGGAATTAAAAGGTTTGGAAATGCTATAGTGGTGAATGGAATAGTAAGCTAATTGGGGAGGTGTAAGAAGATTGTCTTGCCCAAGCAAGGCCCCAGGTGAGATAACATAAATTTGTAGTGGACCCAGTAAACTCCACTTTGTGGTCTTCTCCAGTTCCATTCAACAGCATGCACATAGGAGCAAAAGCATCAGCTGCCGGATGGGAGGGGAGGGGAGTAATCCAAGGTTGGGACTTGACAAGGTACGATCATCAATGAGTTAAGGACAAGGGACTCAAGGCAGAGGATAGTGTAGATTTGGACTGGTTCACTGAAGAGTCAAGATGGGGAAGGGAGAAGAGTGTCACCAGTATAAGGGTGATGGTCTAAGAAAGCAGTGAGGAGTTGAGGGATTGATGTTCTCAATGAAGATGAACAGAATTGGGAATTGTAAGGCAGAGGGAGAGCTGGGAGGATAAAAGGTTATCATCAGAAAAAGGCACTTCCAAGTTCATCACCATGGACGTGAACTACTCATGGATGATGGCAAGATCAAGAGTGTGGCCATCTCTGAGTAGAGCTCAGGTAAAGTGGAGGAGTAGGCCATGGGAGATGAATAGGATGATCAACTGGGGAGGTAG